TGGCTCCTCACTTCGAGCCTGTAGCGAGTCGCTTTACTGACTGCGCTATCCCGGCTCCTGGCGTCCAGCCTGTAGCCAGTCGCTATACCGACTGAGCTATCCCGGCTCCTCACGTCCAGCCTGTAACCAATCTCTATACCGACTGAGCTATCCCGGCTCCTCACGTCGAGCCCGTAGCCAGTCGCTCTACTGACTGTGATTACTGGAACGTTAAATTTACTGCAGGAAAGTTCGCCTAATTATGTTCGGAAGACTATGAGTATGTAGGGTGAGGCAAAGAAACCGGCCCTCGCACTGCGAACTTCCAAGATCTATTGTGTTTCCACTTTTGATTAACCATTTATTAATCCTACACTTCGAATGAAATGTAGGGCTTTATTTATGGGGGCATCATAAAAGTCACTTGGTTCCATGAAGAATTGACCCAGGTGGCGATATCTTAGATAAGCTATAGCCCCATAAACACATAAGATATGTGTGGCTGATTCGTCTTCTTGTAGGCACCTTTCACAAGTTGGGTCGTCTGTTCAGTCCAATTTCAGTTGATTATGGTTAATTTTAACAGGTCCCTCGTTCTTTTCGCAGACAGTTCTGATATAAATCATTTTGCCTGTTTGAGTCCAGTTGTGGATTCCCAGTGTTTTTTGCGATTTCTGTTAGTCCAGTCCCTGATCGCTTTCTTGGCAACTCCAATTGAGATGCCACAAGCTGGTTCAGGTCCTGGGAACGGCTGTTCAGATCCTGTTCTTGTCAGCTGATCTGCTGTTTCATTCCCAGCAATACTCTCCTACCGAGATGCCGCAAGCCTGTTCAGATCCTGTACTTGCCAGTTAATCTGCAGTTTCATTCCCAGCAATAGTCTCCTGCTGAGATACCGCAAGCTGGTTCAGGTCCTGTGAACGGCTGTTCAGATCTTGTTCTTGCCAGCTGATCTGTGGTTTCATTCCAGCAGTACCCTCATGGCCTGGCACCCATATAAGCTGGCCAGTTGTATGAGGTGCTGATGGCAATCCCAATTCAATTTTGAAGTGATTTTGTGTGTACCAAGTGCTTTGATTGCAGCTTGTCTATCTGATAGGATTTAGATATTACTTTTTTTTAGTTTCTATCTAAATTCTCAACTGCGGATGCCTTAATGGCATACACTTCTGCCCAAAAAATGTTTTATACTGACCTAGGCCGAAACTGCGTTTCCACCCTGTTCCATCACAATACACCCCAGCTCCAGTGCCTTTATTTGTCTTGGAACCATCTGTATACCAGATTAGTCCCCCCTTTTTATCAGGTTGAAACCCCTCTTTCCATTCACTTCTCTCAGGATATTTGATCGTAAAGGGTCTATCATAAACATGTTTCGGTATCATTTTATCAGACCCCCATCTGTAGGATGGGTTCTTTTTTCATGTCCTGAGTCATGTCTGCATGTCCAAAACCTTCACATTTAGGTCTCCATTGATCTTTGCAGCGTAATCTGTAATTTCCTAACTTGGCCTCTGTTTCCTTCTTCAGATGCAGTGGGTGGAGTCCTGGTTGGATTTCCATTGCAGCTGTTAGAGCTCATTGTTCCCGTAATTCCCAAGCAGGCCATCCTTTGCAGTTTGCTTAGTTCAGCCTGACGTGTAAGTTTAACGCTAGGCCACCATATAGTGGCAGCATAAGTACGAGTAATTTTGGGTCTTACTACAGCAGTGTATATTCAATATTACCACCTTTGGTTTCAGCCCCGAGGTTTTTCCAAATGTGCCTCTGCATGCCCAGAAGACTTATAGGCCTTGTTAATAGCCTCGTCCAGCTGTCTAATGTTATTCCAAGGTACTTGACTTCACTGGATAGCCGAATCGCTTGACTGAAGATGAAATTCCTCCTCCTACTAAAGGGCATAATTGTTGTCTTGTTTGGATTTATAGACAAGTTTGTTCTTTCGCACCACTGTTGAACTGTATGCAGGGTTGTTTGTAAGAACTCTGACACAGTTTAAGGGAATTTCCCTTTAATTAGGATTGCTGTATCATCAGCATATCCTACTGTGAAATGACCTTCACTGTTGATCTCCCAAAGAAGATCATCCACAATCAGGCTCCACAGCAGAGGGGAGAGAACACCTCCCTGTGGACACTCTCTCGTCGCAGACGCCCCCAGGGTCTCTCCAGACAATGTAGCACTTATATTCCTGCTTTCCAGCATAGCACAGATCCATCTGCATATTGTGGGCTCAATGCCATGCCTTTCAGCAGCCTGTTTTATTGTATCAGAGGAGGTTCTGTCAAAGGCTCCCTCTACTTCAACGAATGCTCCTAGGGCAATATCCTTGTGTGCGATGGCATTTTCTATGCATGTAACCACATTATGCAGTGCGGTTTCAGTAGATTTACCTCTTTGGTGAGCATGCTGGTTTCGATGCAGAGAATAAATCTTCAATGCACCGTCCCTAATGCATCTATCTACTACTTTCTCCATCGTTTTCAAAACGAAAGATGACAGGCTGATAGGACGATAAGCCTTAGACTCGGTGTAATCTAGTTTCCCGAGCTTCGGTATAAATGCCA